CAGGTCATCTTCAAACCCTTCAGAGATCTACAGAATATGGCATTTAAAATGTTTTAATAACTTAGAAAATTTTTCTTTTTTGTTATGATTATGAGACATGTCGGCTCCTGGCAGTACCAATCTACTTCAGAGAAAATATGGGCATTGAAGAAACTGCATATGGAGTTAACTTTCATTGTGGCAAAAGTTAGCCACTGGACAACAAAGTATCCTTGAATCAACTGCTGACAAAATGGACAGACAGGACATGAAACAAAGGACTACTGATTCTTGCCAAAACGAGTGTGGTTATGGCTTTATCAAAAGGCATCTTCTGAGGCCAGGACAATATGGCACCATCCCTGAAGTGGCCTTCGCAATTTGGAAAAGGTACAGTGCCCTTTTCTTCGAAGGCAGCTGAATAGGCAGTGGGCCGATGGCTTCTGATGTGCAATGGAACAGCAGCTGAAACAGTTATTCTTGAAGAGTAACTAAGCTCACGCCTCGCAATAGTAAACTGGCATTTGACAGAGGGATGTGGAGAAGAACGGGATGTTAAGATGAAGCCATATATACACAGCCAAGAATGGACAGCTGAATTAAAAAATCAACAACAATTTCCAGAATTTAAAATCCTGAATCATGACATGACACTAGTGGAATTCAGGTGTTTCTGGTACATGGACTGCTCTCACCCAATGTGAGGTTGAACTGTCGACCTTGTGTACATCCTACTTCACAAATGAGTCTGTCAGATATGCTAAGCCTATAGGCTGAAGATGATGCCCCAACACTGTGGAGAAACCTCAGGTGACTGTCCAGGCAGCTGGCTGTTTCTGTCAACTCACAAATTTTTTGGAAGTTGCTTGCATGCACTTTCTGTTTTTTTTTTTTTTTTTTTTTTTGGTTTTTCGAGACAGGGTTTCTCTGTGTAGCTTTGCGCCTTTCCTGGAACTCACTTGGTAGCCCAGGCTGGCCTCGAACTCACAGAGATCCACCTGGCTCTGCCTCCCGAGTGCTGGGATTAAAGGCGTGCGCCACCACCGCCCGGCCACTTTCTGTTTTTATTTTTGTTAGCTAATATTATTTCCTTCTTGGGTCTCTGAGGGAGTTGAAGATTAGTTAGTTATAGTTGAAGGTTAGTTAGTTATAGTTGAAGATTAATTAGGATAGAAAGTGAATTAGATACATTTTGGACTTAACAAAATAGGATAGATAATGAAATTATTTTCTCTGAATTTGTCAAATACAAATGGACTAGACATTGTTTAGACATTTATTACTTGTATATATTGTATATAGTCATTGTACTTTTGTATATAGTTTTTCTTTTGTTAGTTATAACCTTTTTCTTTTTTTTCCTTTTTATTAAAATAGAAAAGGGGAAAAAAAAAAAAAAAAAAAAGAAACAACACAAATGGGGGGGGGCGTTGGGGGGAAGGTGAGGGGGACGGGAGGGGGGAGAACAAGGGAATCCGTGACCAATATGTAGAACTGAATTGTATTGCAAAATAAATTAAAATAAATTAAAAAAAAAAAAATATTAGAAGCTGAGTTTAAAAAAAAAAAAAAAAAAAAAAAAAAAATCTTGAAGGAAAAGTCGAATGGGGGAAACTCCAATAGCACACAAGAAATTCATTGCAGGATACAGCTAATACATTCAAAAGCCAATTTCATGAAGTCTCCTTAAGTCTTGGTTTCCTTCTGGAAAAGTCCATAATTTGTTCCAGGTAATAGCTTTTCAATATCAGCTAAACTTCTACTTCATATTCCTGTGGCTGGAAACATACCTATACTTTACCAAGAAATTAAAACAGAAAAATACACAAAGCAAATAAATAATATCTCAATCAATAAATAAGCCAAAAAAAGGACCATGCTCAAAGCAGTTGAAACAGCCAAAATATACATATTACATTCTCCAGAATTACTGTAATGAAGAAAATGCTCATCTAATGTACACTGAGATCTCCTCTCTGTCCAGTCAGTTCTACAGTCAAGGTCCTAAACAACAGCAAACACTGAAGACCATGCAGGAGGAAGAATACAGAGACACAGTGTCAATGGGAATTCAACTCACTGCAGCCACCAGGCAAGTTAGTGTGCAGCTTCTTGAACAACCAAACAAGCAAAGAGATAACCTAGAGAAGATGATACTCAAGGTTACAAAGGAATGAAATATACTGCAAATATAAACAGTATAAGAAGGAACTCAGAAAAAGAAATATAATAGAGAAAGTTTAACTTAATGGTATGTTTATATTTCCTTCAGTGATTTCTTGAAATGTATATGGGTAATATTCCCCAAACTAAACATGAAAATAGGATACAGATTCAAAAGAAAAAGAGAAAACATCCTTAAATCAAATTATATATTTTCTATAAAAGTATTTACTTCAAATGTAAGGATACAAAGTGCTAAGAAGGGATGATTTTTTTAAAAAGATTTTCTGTGAAGAGGGTAGATCATAATTATGGTAGGTAAGAGGAAAAGCCAAATCTATCATATACAAAGCAAAGACTATTAGCAAATGATCAAATGCCCATTCCCAGAAAGCTATGTGCTCAACATGAATTCACCTCATAAAACAGTTTCTAAATATATGAAGCAATCAATGACAGAATGGTAGGAAGCAAAGAGACAACAATGCAGGAAGCTTCAATGTCCACCATTGAGAAAGAGGACCACGGAGAGCACTGAAAACCAATAACGCCTAGCAGCACTCCAGGGAATCATTTACACAACAGCAGAAAACTCCCAGTCTTCTCAAAGTTCAATCAGCATGCTCCAGTGTGGATATGTCTTAAAAAAGAACAAGTCTTCAAACCTAGTAACAATCAATGTTTACCTTGAATGCTGATATCAACAGTAGATAGAAAAGAATACAAAAAAAGAGACATATGAATACTGACTCATTAATAGCATGTTTTCATTAAAATGTGAAGAAATATAAAAGGATGTTTGTGTTCTGTAAAGATTCTAAGTAATTTGTAGGAAGAGCTTATAGGCATATATATATATATACATATATGTATATGTATATGTGTATATATATATATATATGGAGAAAATCTTCCTAAAATTTATAAAATTATGAGAAACCACAAAGACTTCAAAAATTCTGAGAGAAGGATTTAACCCAGAGGTAATTTCAAAATATATAAAAATTGTAGAAACTCAAACTATGGAGTGTTGAAGACAGACAATGCAGGATATCAAAGGGAAGACAAGGTAGAAGGAGTTTAACACTCAGCAGAAATAGCAAGCAACTCTTAGCAAAATCCTTCTGACAGCATTTTAGGAAATAGAGAAATTAAACCCATAAGATACAGAACCTGAGGGAACTACAAGATGCTCCAACAACTCTGTGTGCAGGACAACCAAGAGGCTTCAATGGATTTAACTCAACGGCAAATTAAAATCATAGTAGTGAAACCACTTAGTATTGGTATAAAAACAAAACCAGCAATGTGAATGGAAGGGGGACATCACTCACATGCAAAAACAAATAAAATTATATTTGTCTCTGAGCATTAATTCTTATATACAGAGTCTTCAAACACCTACAATAGGACAATCCTGAGATTATTCTTAGTAGATTTCTGTAAAATCATTTCTAATGAAATAGAATGTGGGAAAACTAACTTCATGTCTTCTTTCTACTGTCACTTGAACCCTTCCCCATGTCTTCACCCCTTCCTCAGACCCTCTAACATACCTGGATCCTTTGCTACTGTCTCCTCTCTCTTCTGCATCCAGGGCTCTTTGTTCTGATGCACAGGTGAGCAGGACTGACCGACTTTGTGAGGCTGTAGAGGAGAAAGAGATTCTTCAGAAAGCACCTGGAGCTTTGCAAGGAGCAAAAAACTGATAGTTGCTAATTCCTACTAAAAGGATAAACATGAAGAAGAGAAAGTATCAAGAAAAATGTCTTTTTCTCTGATGATTTCACTTTACTCTTTGAGATGTGAGACTCATTCACACCCAGCTTACTCACATGCACTATAGTTTTTCAGGAAACTTTAAGAGTAAGGGAGACTGCAAGAAAATTATTCTCACACTCAGAATCCAGACTGCTGCAGTTCTACAACAGTTCTGTGGAAAAAGCCCTGTGAGCAGGGTCTAGGCATTCCCACTCCTTTAAGTCCACAGTCACAGCACTGAATGTCAACAAACCCTGAAATAAAAAACAACAGTTTGGTCACTTGTGCATGGGCAGAGTGCTTTTCTTCAATCAAGGAGACAATTTTTCTGATACAGGTGAGTGATCATAAATATTCATAAGATGCTCTCTAATTTTGTTTTCATCTAAAGTGCATTTGCTAACTATAAAAGAGTGTGGCCTGATATAATCTCACAGCATGCATGTTGGGTTTGCCTGGACCTAAGGTGTAACATAAGGACACAGCATACAAAGACACATTTCTGAATGCTGTATTTACATTCCAGACTGCATACATCTCACACGGAAAATTAATGTGGAGGAAAAGGTGTACAACCATATCTGTGGCACTCCATCAAATATATTCTCTGATTTAATCTTATTTGTACGTGTTCCTCATGTGATTATTATCTACAAAGCTCTCTGGCTATGCTTAGTCACAGGGACAAACAACACTCTCTTGATTAGGCATGTGGTAAAACAAGGGCGTTAGAAAGCATGGATGAATTTAAATTCCAAGAGCTTTGGAACTGCCACAATAGCAAAGAGAACCCTGCTTGCACACAAGAGATACCCCAAATGCTCTACCAGATTATTTTATGAATTATTTTAAGACAGACTAGTCTGGGAACAGTAAGAGAAGTGAAAAAAATCACGATACACCCCACTTCATAGGATCTCAACCTTACCGACAACGGAAAGCTATCCACAACAGAATTTTGAAAGCTGTGTCCTTCTGAGCAGCCTCGGCGAGCACACCCCGGTCCCTCCCCTCCCGTGTCCCAGCCCCGCAGCTCCTCTGACCTGGGAGGTTCCAGGGCCGCCGCCGGGCTGCGGTTCCCGCCACTGCGCTGCTGACTGGTGACTTTCCCAGGCAGCCCCGCGAGGAGACTGCGGCTCCGGGGAGATTTCAAGTCCCAAACACCGGGGCGGGTCTTCCTCACCCAATGCTGCACCGCAGGAGTCCAACAAGGTATTGTGGAATTTCCTGTCCCTTCAGGCTGGTTTCTTGGAGCTGCTCCTTCTGGCCCTGCCCAATACACCCCCTTCCGGTTACGCATACCACGGACTGTTTTTCTTATTCAGTTTCCCAAGTTCACCCTGTGGGTTATTTTTCCCCTAAACTCCTCTGATTTACAGGTGTCCCCGCCACAGTGAACCGTCCCTCCCACTCGGTCTCAGGCCGCCTTCCACACAGCTCCAGCCGTCAGGCTGCCCTGGACCCGCTCTGCACATCCTCCCCACATGCTTGCTGCCAGCCTAGACCAGGGTCTAGGAGGACGCTGCATCCCACTACTTTACCCCCAGCCTGGGTTCTGACCCTTTTAGATACAAGTTATCCTGCCCAACTTCTCGGCTTGGCATGCCAGCACCCCTGGGCTAAAAACACACTAAATTCTGATGCTCAAGTCCCATTCCCCAAACAAACCAAAACTAAGATAAAACGCCCTTCGCTCAAAGCACAAACCATATCTGTATCCACTAAGGAGAGAAAGTGAAATGATATCCAATATACAGAACTCAACAACCAGAGTCGTGTCCAAAATGGTCAAAATATGTAAAGCACGTGAATCAACTCAAAGATAAGAGCAAAATGATTCGTTTTGCCCAGGACTGTAGAGAGTAGGGGTGAGAGTGTATACAAGAGTGGTTCATGTGGAAATGGTAAATAATAATAGTAACAATAATTATAATAAAAATTAAAATGGCCACAACAGTATGTAATTTCATCTTCGTGTTCTTTGTCTGGTTTGGTATCAGCAAACATTAGCTTCATAAGAGTCTGGAAGCCTTACTTCATTTTTATATCAAGGAACACTTTAAGTAGCTTCAGAATCAGTTTTTCTATGAAGTTTTGACACAGTTCTGTGGTGACGGAATCTGCTTCTGGACTCTATTTTTTTGATTGGGGCTCATTAATTGCTGCTTCCCTGTTGATGCTACTTAATTTTCATTTATTTCATGTTGGTGTAATTTTGGTATGTGGTGTGAATCAGGATACTTGCCCATTTCTTTTAGAGTTGTCAATGTCTAGAGGTCTTTAAAGTCAGTAGGTACTGAAAGGACCAAGCAGATGCCATTAACAGGCTGCTCAGTCTTCTCTCAGAGATCAGGACTCAATTTCAGTTTCCTGAGACTTGAGCAAGCAGTTTCTGGGAGGGCCATGAACAAAAGACTGCTCAAAGTTTAGCCAGATGTTTACTTTCTGGGGCCCCTCACCAACTTAGAGTTATGTGCAGTACGTGCTTGACCAGCCAGCCCCCATGGTGGCTCAAGGACAAAGCCTGGGACTTGTGCTGGACTGCCCCCAAAGTAATAAATTGTAACCACCAACCAGTAAATTCAAAGGTTACATACCCTCACCCAATTAAAAGAGAACAGAGATAAAGATAAACCAATCCGAGTTGCACCCGTGCAAAACTCCCCCAATCCCCCTGAAGGGCTTGTGGATTTTGCCTTTAAAAAGCTAGCCACACAAAGAAAAAGCAAGTTCCTGCTGGCCTCATGACTATGAGTGAGTGCTTTGGATCGAGCTTCCCTGTCCGCGGCTTGTAAACAAACGAAATAAACCATGCTAATTGCATTCTGAACCTAAGGTCTGTGGTGGTTTGTCTTTGGGGTCCCAATCTGGGCATAACAAGTACCAGATAGGCTCATTATACTCTTAAGATCTACTGATTAGGCCATGCAGTTAGCTTGGGCACTTCTCAAGTCATGGTGATAAGAAGTATTGTATACATAGCTATCAGGGAGATGCACACTTAATCTCCTATAAGATTCCATCTCACCACAGTCAAAATTCCATCATCAGGATAAATAACAAATTCTGGCACGGATGTGAGGAAAGGGATACTGTTATACACTGCTTGTGGAGACACTTTGGAAGACATTCTGGATTTTTCTCAAAAAAAACTAGAAATAGAACTACCATATATACTACACTGTTTAGCCATTTCTTCATAGATTGTCTCCTGATTGTTGCCTACAGTTCTCTGTGTACCCCCATGCCCATCTGCATAGGCTGAGGAAAAGAGATTCCAGAATTACTCATGCCCCTTTAGAGATTCTAGCTAAAAAAAAAAAAAAAAAAAAAATAGACTTGTCATCATCAGAATGAGGACTATGTTTCTCTTGTGTGTTCTGAGGTTTAAGCTGTTGTGATCATGACAGGTAAAAAGGCATGCCAGCTCTGCAGGATGGTGAGCACACAGAAATATAAACTCATAGCTAGAAATCTGTCATTACAGCACAGTGTTCTGAGCCCATGGGCATCTTTCAGAGGCCAGGGCTACTTTTTTCACACTGTGGTATGTGCTATTGTTTCCTTCCATATACAATGAATAATGATGTCACCAGCTAATAGATTCTGCACATGTGCATGGATTAAACACATTAGTGATTAATAATGTATCTGGGTTGAATTAATGAAAGAAATGAAAGCATTTTTCCCTTGGAGTCATTTATCTAAGAGTGAGTCCAGATTTAATTCTCTACTTGATGCTTCCTCTGCTTCCTATCATTGCATGTGTTTGAACCTGTGCCTGCCTGAAGGCTATCCCTGTTCATCTGTCTGTTGTCTGCATGTGTGTCTGTCTGTCCCGAACGAAGAGCTTTGCTCTGTCTTTATTGCACAGCATAGAAAGTATTACATGGGGGAAAGAATGGAATAATTTACTGAAATCTTTAACAGCGTTTTACAAGGGATTAAGTCACTGGATCCAACTGACCTAAACTGATCAAGATAACAAACAATTTTGCAAATGTCACTGTCTTTCAAATGATATCCACAAAGGCACATTTATTTTAAAAGGTTACTTTCACGCTCTGTTTTTTAAGATTTCAGCAATCGATGCACATGCTAAAGAATTCTCCCCAAGTGCCTGCCCTGAAGAGATTTCTACCAGGGTCCAGAACAGAAACTACAAGTGACTAAGGATACTAATCTGAAATATAGAGTGAATCTAAGCACACTGAGTTCTTTAGTCCGTTCACTTTATTCTTCTAAGTCAATTCTATCTACACAGCTTCTTTTCTGTTCTCATACTTAGCTCCTCTCGGTCCCTCCTGCTCTCAGCCCCTTCTGCTGTTCTCTCATCTCTATCTAGTTCTTTCCATCTCCATCTTCGTCTTTGTTCTTCTAAATCAATTCCCCTAGTGCTGTGAGGGAACCAGTGTATAGACACAGCAGTAATTCTTTGGCAAAGCAATGAGAGGCTTGAAGTTTTCAGGGTCGCAGAGAGAGCTGATAAGGATCCGCACATAAAGTAGTAATTGTCAGCTTCCAATTCCAACCCCCAAAGGGGAGTGGCTATAGGGGAGTTCTCTGGTCAGGTCAGCTAAAGGCTAAGAACAATTAGAGAATTCTAAAAAGTAATTTATGTGCTCAAACTATAATCTAGAAATGGCTAGGTAGAATGTTATGGGTCAATAAGTCACAAGAAAAGTAAAACTGTCTCTAGTGCCGCTTTCCCGCCACTCGTCCTGGCTGCAGCTGCTTTCTGGTAGGGAAGGGGACATATGCTCGGTTGCTAAGCAACCTGAGTCAGAGCTTGTAGCATTTGGCAAGTAAAAGCACCTTAGCTCAGAGTAATTGCTGAGCAGAAAATCTAGGAATAGTGCCTGGCTGGGGAGGAGTTAAAACTTAATTTGCACAAGAAACGAAGCTTGGTACCTATCATCTGCCTGCCCTTGTAAGAAATCTTCTTTGGTCAGTGGGAAATAACTATCTCAACTCAGTAACTAATAAGTGGCTAAAACATCATCCCAGGAATGTGAGCAGTAAATCTCTTAAGTGAGGGTTTGTGTAAATAACCCGGAGTGAAGGTAAGGGGTTGAGGATTTAATTGCTAGTGGTTATTTTCTCTTATCTGTAAGTGAGATGAGCTAATGTTTATCTCCATTTGTCCTTGGATAAAAAGATATCTTAGCTGAAATACTTTTGTCTGGAGAATGGCCCTGGCCAGATTTATGTTAATGAAAAAATAAACACAGCTGCAGACAGTTGTCCAACTACCCCAAATGTATAGGGAAAGTTGTGCCCAAGATTGAGATGCAATCATGAGATTACATGTACACATACCATGGAAATGCACGGTAAATGGGAGACTCATAGCTGTTATTGCACAAAAAGTTTACAACAAGAGACAGCCAGTTCATTCAAAAGGCAGTAATTCCATAATGCCTTTTGTGATGGTTTCCTCTAACAGAACCCTTAGTTCTGATAGGTTGACCTTCTGAACTCTAGTTGTCACTGCTGTATACTCCCATGGGCTTTTGCTACCAGCAGCTCTCAATAACATGCATTATTTGGGTTAGGGCCATGGAAAAGAACATAATGTAAGATTACAGCTGTGCATTAGCTTAGGATATAAAAATTGATTGCATTAGCAATCTAAGGAAAATAAAGTTTATTTTTACATTATTATAAAAGCATGTTAAACCAACAAGCTGAGTACACAGTAGGATAGAAGTGTTAGGTCTTTTTTTGCATGGTTTTTCTGTGTATCCCTGGCTGTCCTGGAACTTCCTCTATATACCAGGCTGGCCTCAAACTCAAGAGATTTGCCTGCCTCTACCTTGAGAGCGCTGGGTTTAAAGGTGTACACCACCATGCCAGGCCAGTATTAAGTCTTTCCTTAACTTGCATTATTAACTTTGGCTGTGAGGTCCAGCAAAAGTTCCAATCTCTTAGAATGTAAGACCAGTGGGTCTAACTATTGTATCTTCTCTTGAGGCTCTTTTGTTGTTGTTGTTGATTTTCTGTGTCCAGCTTCAAAGTGTTGGTTTTTGTTTTAGCTTATTATATTTATTTTCTTTATGTTTTTTGTTACCGTTCAGAAGCCTGTTCTTTTCTAATATTTAGACAGAAAGTGAGTTGATCTGGATGGGAGGGTAGGTGAGGAGTTATTGGGAGGAGTATTGGGGGAGAAACTGTAATCAAGATATATTGTATGAGAAAACAATCTGTTTTTA